ACTACGCTCGACTTTCTATAAACCGATAGCGATTACTATGCGACTTGACAGAACGCTTCCTTCCTGAAACTCGACATCATAGCCTCCTAAATCCCCGTATCAATACGGACGAATCCAAATGTGAGAGGATAGCAAGTCTCTGGACTTTGCAGGCACATACGGTGCATCCCGATCACCGAAATCACGGCCATTTCCCACCATTGTCGGATACGTTTTCCAAAGAGCCGCCACCGCTCGCGCTATTGTAGTCTTGACGACAATGGACTGATGAGCCGGTATTGTCAAATTCGAACTCTGTTTGCACCGGATAGGAGCGACGCGACGAAAAAGAGAAAGAGAGAGAGAGAGAGAGAGAGAGAGAGAGAGAAAGAGGGAAGGAGGGAGAGAGGGAGGAAAAGAGAGATCATAGTTTGTGAAGCGACGCATTTATCCAAAAATCGAGAATCGTTCTGTTTTTTTGATGATGGATGGATCGACTCGAGTATTCTCATACGTTTGTCCGAACAAACTCGCTTTGTCGCGTCTGACGAACAGTCACAGGCGTTCTGTAATCCCAAAGGATTAACTCGAGACCGAACAAGTATTTTCTTGACGGAAGGAGAATCGAGATTTTCTTGACTCGTGACTCCGAATGTCGTGAACGACGGACGATGTGGGAAACGCATGAGATACCTTTGCAATTTTCTTCCAAGAACGCGGAGCGAAGATCTTTACCAATAAAGCGGAAAGAGAGGAAGAGAGAGGGAGAAAAAGAAAGAGAGTGTATATACTCTGCGAGAAAGCAATTATATCAGTGTGCGCAATGACTTTTACTAGGAAACGCGCAAACCATTGTAGCGGCTCGTGACAACATCTGGAGAAAAACAAGAACTCGTAATTACGTACTGCAACTCCTGGCGCTCTTAGAGAAGTAGAAACGAGAACAGATGATTTCAAATTATGTCGAAGCGCAGTAGTAGTTCACGTTCGCTTTCCTTCGAAAAATTATTTACTTGTACATATTACAGATACTTGTACATATTACAGATACTTTATGTTTTCGCAAAATTTTGTTTGCTAAAGTGTGCGAATTAGAAAGTTGATACTGCATCGAACTTCGTTTAAAATGCTTGCGAGACTACTTGAATCGTGCAACATCATTCGGAATTCATTCGTGGAACGTCTTATTTCCTTCGAGACGGATCGAAGGGTCGCCACGGGGCGAAACGCTTCTCCCATGGATGAATTTTACATATTCCGGATTTTCCGAGCGATTACCTTGCACGGACGACGGAGAATTCCTTCTTTCTACGCGTAATTACCCGTGCCGTTGCCTGGCGCGACGCCACGTTAACGCGCGGCGCTCGTAATTTTACAGCGGAGAAATAACAAAGCCGCATATGCAAAAAGCGTTAATTTATCATATCACGCAGCCGTCTCTCTGAAGTGACAGGGGAGTTATAAAATAAAAGATTATACCAAAAGCAAATTACAAAAAATACATAATAACATTAATGCGCTTTGTGATAATGTCGCTTGTCTAATAACTTGGATCCACGCTATGTGTATTGTGTACCTTTATAAAATATTAAATTTAATAATATAGAAAATTGTAATTCTTTTCATCATTTTTTAAATGATGGTGTACATGATATTATTTTCGCAATACTATTTTCATCAAACTGATTAATATAAAAGTTACAATAATTTATTCATTGCTTCAAAATTGTTCTGTAATCTAGTCATCTTTTGTCAGCAATTTACACTGAGAAAAGTTTTTGGTATTTATAACTATAATCATATGTTATATATCATAATTATGTCTGTTGCACTGATATAATAAGAAAATAAAACTAATAAACGAGAGTCAAACACACAGTCAACGATGTAAATAACAACATACATATATATCTTATTAAATTACATTTACTCAGACATTTTGATTCCTTTCTGGGACATCCTCAGTGAAAGTTGTCTATATTGAATTTTAAAGACTTTGTAGCTTCAAAAGAATTTATTTTCTATGACTAGAAAAGCCCGTTTTATTTTCTAGTTGTTCTTTGAATTATCGAGAGTCCTTAAACTTATTACTATTATACGTTTAATAATAATAATATGTGTATATAGTTCTATCAAATAAGGCCGGAAGACTTGATTATATGAGAGAATTAAATCATTTTAAATACATATTTCATTCAAATTTCAGGTCAAGCAATTGTCAAACCGCGACGTATGGATTGTGCCATTTTGATTTTACATTTATCGAAACGTGGCAAATAGTTTCCAATTGATAACCGTGCATGTGGCACGAAAATTTGAACGAGAAATTTGAAGTAATTCAACTCTCTCGTATAGTCAAGTCTCCCAGATTCTCCCTACATATAATTGACACGAAAATAATTATAAATTATAGTCATATTATTATATAATTTTATTATCACAAAAATAATTGTAATTATTACAATTTAACTATAATTTATAGTCGTTTTTGAGTTATCATAAAATATGGATGGCTCAAGAGCGATTATAAATTTATCTATTAAATTAAATTATAATAATTGCAACCATTTTATGGTAATAATAACTTGTGTTACAAATACCAAACATTTTTCTCTCAGTGTACAGCTAAACTAAATGTTGAAATGCATAATCGCAAGTTTCATAACGACTGTAAACATAATGACCAGAGAAGTAGACGATGCGGAATTTGTGAAAGCTTACGGACGTAGAAAATTGCAATCGTTGGGTCATAATGGAGTTGTTCCGAGCTTTGATCAAACGATTCCGTTAGTTGTCTCGTCAAGAGCAAACCGCCATGAGACTAGGGTCGATGGTTAATGGGAGTCGTACAAAGGTTTGTCCGAAAACCGCAACATGTGGGAATACGGGAGTATGAGCGTATACGAGAACATTTTTCCGAGTACGCGTCGATGCGTTTCTCGTTAGTTAAATAAGCAAAAAGATAAACTTTTACAGTAGATGTTTTCGCAGGTAACATAAAAAATGTGTAACATAAAAAAATGTATAATTTATTCTTATCATAAAAGAACAACATTGAATGATAATTTACCCATACCGCAATATTTTAATAATTAATAACTTTTAGTAAGCGCGATAACAATTGTTTATGAATTTTATCGCAATTATTAAATATTCACTGCTTTGTTTTTTAAATACCTTTGGTTATCATACTAGGAAAACTTTATTGCGTTACATTTATAATCCAATGTGTTTTCAATATTACTTCATTTGACCTCATATGAAAGGATTAATGGATATTGTTTTTAATTATAATCAAAAGTTAATTAACGCTTTGTTTTACACGAACTGCAATTATTCATCTGATTTTTTGCATATAAAAGAAAACTCTAAAAAATACTAGAACTGAGGAAGAGCTCGTTTCATTACTAGTGATCGAAATCGCGTTCGGCTGAGCAGAAATTTATCTTTACTACTTACGCGCGCGCACGGTGCTCATGCTTCACTCCAAATATTGTAAAAAATTTTTATTTTACTTTTTTTATCACATAATACACTAACTATATCATTATAATACCATATAATGCACTAACTATTATAATATAAAAGTAATAATAATATATA